TGTTAGCTCTATCACTAACACAGAGTTTGTCTGATGATAGCAAAAGCATGAAACCCAGGGTTACAATTTCATATCCGTACGACTGAATATATATATATATATATCTATATATATATATATATATATGAAGAAATATAGTGCTATATTTATGGGATAAAGTGCTCACTATCAGAGACAGAGCGTATGTAAACGTAAATATAAAAGTGAACATTGAAGTCAACACTCAGAGGCGACAGGCCGTTTCATGCTGGACGCAATCGTCAGGCCGACGATTGCGTCCAGCCTGAAACAGTCTGTCGCCCCTGAATGTTGACTTCAGTATTCACTTTTATATTTACATAAAAGTTTCGACTATGGAAGTAGGTATGAATTTAATCTTTTATCTATATTCCATTTTCCATTCTCCTCGTTAAATGCTATATCCTTTCAGATTACTGGGGAAAATTTACAATAAAAAAATGAATAAATCCAAATCATATAGGCTATAGAAAGATATAATTTGATTTATATGTTATCCCAAAGCTGACCGTCCTGGGGGTGACGATAAACTACATCCGCATCAGGGATAAGGCGATAAAGTCCAACAGCAAGGTTTCTGATCAGGAGGTTTTTAGAAGCGTAGAACCACCTGTCAATTGCTGGTGTTCCCAGGTTCACCCTGACGTGGGGTGGTAGCACCTGCCAGGGTCCCATCTTTAGGCAAATAGTTAATCCCAAACTGTGGTCAAAACACTATGAAATTGTATAAATAGGTTTTAATACAAGAAATACTTCTTTGGAAAAATTATTACCTTCAATACATTTTTGAAAAAGATAAATACATTTTGAAAAAAAAAATTACCAGCAAGACATTAAAAAAAAAGAAAAAATATTACCAGCAATACATTAAAAATATATATATATATTACCAGTGCTAAATATTTTGTCGGAATTAAATAACCCATTGAGGTGTTGATATGCCATAAAACCAATAAACCAAACCAAACAAATCAACGCTGAACAAATTATGTTCTTACATGTTTATAAGTGTTTCCTGATTTTACTTATTTTATTGTCACTACAGCGTCTTATTCTAATTCTGCTTCTACTCCTTAGTTAGCACGACCATTACATCCTACCAATACCTTATAAATAATGGACTGCTCTGTTTGGATCGTGTGGAAAGACGTTAAACTCATACACACGCTACTTAGTTTCACTGAGAAAAAAATTGTGGACAAGCGCGAAAGAGCCCATTGTAGCTTTATTAATATCTATTCGGTTGAGTTAGCTCGGACTTTCACAAGTCTATTACGCCAACTATCACGAGCCTACATCAAGGTCGAAAGGCTATTAGGAAAGCATAACATAACATAGTTGGTCAATGAAGGTAGTTACTGGGTTATAAAATTAGTCTTGCTCCATTGCTAGGTGTCCAGAATAGTAGATCTATCGGGAGTCCTTGTTTTGCTCGCCAGCAGTGTCCTGCAAAGCGCTTTCTGCGTTCGCATAAGATTGTAGAAATATCGGGCATGAATCCATAGAGTTCTGATTTAGTTGGATGTTCTCTCCTCCAGGCCATGTTAAGCATAGATCTCAGCATCCGGGTATAAGTTCCATCAAGCTCAGACTGTAGGGTTTTAGTGAATGGCCAGGTAGTGGCACCATACATTAATACACTCACTAAGGTGGCTAATACATTAAATAGTAAAAAGAAAAACAAATGAAAAAAAAAAATCAGCGTAAAAGAAGTGCTTCAATTGGCGATAGACATTTAACCTGATCTTATAAATACTTGTGGTGCCGAGTTAAGTAATTTCTGGGGCCAATGTCATTTTCATTGACTGCGCCATACTTGATCTGATAATCCCTAGCGTTTGCAAGTTATATCTGACATAGGATAGAAGAATTCATCCCTGACCTGACGTATAAACAAACACACATGTTGGGTTACCTTGCAATGTTTAAACGACATCAAGTATCCTACTGTTTACTCATAGTTGGAAGGAGAAGTAAATACAGTGTAACCCGGATATAAGAGACCCGGATATAAGAGACCCGGATATAAGAGAAACCCGGATATAAGAGAGATTTCTCTGGTCCCAAATTAGAGCCTGTGTTAATGTATATAAAATAGACTAAAGCCGGATATAAGAGAAACCCGGATATAAGAGAAACCCGGATATAAGAGACTTCTTCTCCGGTCCCAACAACTCACTTATATCCGGGTTACACTGTACTTGCTTTTTAGTAATGCATTACTGCGATTTGAAACCAAACATTTTTTCTTTTCTTTTTATGTGTCGTGTTATTTCAGGACGTAGGCGATCATGTCTCTCCACTTCCTCCTATCCATTGCGACTGTCAAAAATTTTCGTGCCTCTGCTAACTCCCGCAGACCACGTTCTGTCACCAACTTGCTTAATCCCGCCAGGTATGTCATGCGTTGCTTTCCCCTGTCTCTCTTTCTTTCTATTCGACTTGTGAGTATCAGGTTCTCCAAGCACTCCTTTCTCCTTGCGTGTCCCAGAAATTTCATCTCCCTCTTCCTTGTGTTAAGTATAAGCTTTCTCCTTGTTTGCGTCCTTCTCAAGACCTCATCGTTGCTCACACGCTCGTTCCATGATATCCTCAGCATCCTTCTGTAGAACCACATCTCCGCTGCCTCGAGTCTCTTCTTCATCTTTGAGGAGACCGTACAACATTCGCTGACGTATAGGAGGACAAATGCCATGTAGCAGCTCAGTATTCTTTGTCACCAAAGAAATCCTCCTGTCTCGCAGTACTCTGCCCAGCTTTTGGAACACATCCTTGGCCATCCCAATCCGTCTTCGGATCTCAGCGTCGCACCTACCGTCCTCTGTCAAAACACTTCCCAGATATTTAAACTTCCGCACATACTTGATCTTGGTTTCCCCGACTTGGAAATCGCGTTACGGGCTCATTCTTTTTACTGATGATCAAGTCATTCTGTAGTTTATGCTTAGTCCCTTCTTCTTGCCCTTCCTCGAAACCTTCGGTAGGATGTTTTGTAATTTCTTTTCCGTGTACTGTGTCATCTGCGTATCCTATGTTGGTAGGATTATGGCCGCCAATGCTGAATCCCGGTAGGGTCTCCAATAATCTCAGAATTACCTCGTTTTATACCAGCCGAAGATTGAACTAAGTCGGTGAATTCCATTCTCTTTGTATTTCGGCCAGCTGCATATTCCGGGTCGAAACGTTTTGATAAATAAAATAAAGATAGGGATAGAAATAGAACTTTGCCTGGAATGATAAGTGGCTATCTTCAGCAAGATATTTGTGGTTTAACATTGCACTTGAACTTTGACCTTGTTGACCTGTGCATAAGTTCTCCTGAGTGCAATGGCTGCATTTGCAGATGGTAACTCATTTGCGCAGGAAGTGAGTGACGCCTGTAGGAAATGAAGAATATTATGGGAAGGAGTGTTACTTGTGTTCACCTTTTTATGTCCAGGTCAGTTGTTGTCTGAAAGACGAGGAGAGTTAGGTTAGGAGAAAGAAAGAGGGGGATGGGAAGAAAGAGGCGAGAACGGGTAGAAGTGGGAGTGATTTCATGCAGGGTTAAGAGGGGAACAGCGAGAGAGACGGGGAAGAGGAAAAGGATTCAGCGTCCCTGGAGATAGGGAAGAACTAATAAAATGAATGAAAGAGAGAGGGAGATAGAGAGAAAGAGGGCATGGGATGGAAAGAGGGAGACAGTAAGAAAGAGTAGAAGCGACGGAAAATATAGGCTGAAGAAGGAAGTATTTTAGAAGAATGGATAAATTTAGGACAAAAAGAGCGAAAAGTAATATTGAAATTACAAGGAATTAAAAAGGTAGACTTTTGTGAGATTAAGCAAAAGAAAGAAAGAAAAATAGAAATGACAAAAGAAAGAAGGAAAGAAAGTAAAAAGAAGGAAAGGATGAAGGAGATAAATAAAGAAAGAAAGGAAAAAGAAAGAAGGAAAGCTAGAATGAAAAAACGAAAAAAGAAAGAAAGAAAGAATGAAAGAAAGATAGAAAGAAAGAAAGAAAGAAAGAAAGAAAGGAAGAAAAGAAGAAATAAATAAAGAAAGACTAAAAGAAAGAAAGAAAGAATGAATAAAAAAATACAGAAAGAAACGGAATGAGTTTTAAATGGTATATAGTGAAAATGTATAATAGTTAAAAGATAGGGAATAGGTTAAAAGTAAAAGAAAAAAAACGGTGTGGATATAAAAATTGAAAAAAAATTAGGATATGGAGAAAGAAAGAAAGAAACAGAGAGAGAGAGAGAGAGAGAGAGAGAATAAGAATGAGTAAAAGCAAAGGAAAATATATTCCGAAGAAGAAAGAAAGTGTTTTAGAAGAATGGATAAATATGGGAAATTGGGAATCGTTAATAGGCAGATCAGACAAAAAAGGGCGAAAAGTAATGCTGAAATCAGAAGGGATTAGAAAGGTAGCCTTTTATGGGATTAAGAAAAAGAAAAATGGAAATGACAAAAGAAAGAAGCAAAGAAAGTAATAAAGGAAAGGATGAAGTGGATAAATAAAGAAAGGAAAAAGAAAGAAAGAAAGCTACAAAGGAAAACGAAAAAGAAAGAAAGAAAGAAAGAAAAAAAGACAGAAATGGAGAAATAAATAAATAAAGAAATAAATAAATAAAGAAAGAAAGAAAGAAACAGAAAGAAAGGGAATGAGTTTTAAATGGTATATGAGGAAAAAGTATAATATTTAAAAGATAAGTAATAAGTTAAAAGTAAAACAAAAATCGGGTGCGGATATAAAAATTGAAAAATTAGGATATGAAGAAAGAAAGAAAGAAAGAAAGAAACAGAGAGAGAGAGAGAGAGAGAGAGAGAGAGTAAGAATGTTTAAAAGCAAAGGAAAATATATTCCGAAGAGGAAAGAAAGTATTTTAGAAGAATGGATAAAGATGGGAAATTGGAAATTGTTAATAGGCAGATCAGACAAAAAAGAGCGAAAAAATAATTCTGAAATCAGAAGGGATTAGAAAGGTAGACTTTTATGGGA